TCTGATGCCATGTTTTTCTTCATGTAACCCAGCTTCTCGTATTATTTGCTCAGCATACAGGTTGAATAAGTATGGTGAAAGAATACAACCCTGTCGCACAACTTTCTTAATTTTAAACCATTCAGTCTTCCCATGTTCTGTTCGAACAGCTGCCTCCTGGACCATGTAGAGATTCCTCATGAGCACAATTGAGTGTGCTGGAATACTCATACTTCACAATGTTGTCCATAGCTTGTCATGATCCACACAACTGAAAGACTTTTAGTAGTCAATAAAGCACAGGTAAACATCTTTCTGATAGTCTCTGCTTTCAGCCAAGATCCATTGGACATCAGCAATGATATCCCTCGTTCCACAGCCTCTTCTGAATCTGGCTTGAGCCTCTGGAAGTTCTCTGTCAATGTATTTTTGCAGCCGTATCTGTATTTCCTTTAGTAAAACTTTACTCACATGTGACATCAAAGACATTGTCCGATGATTTCCACATTCCGTTGGGTCATCGCTCTTTGGAATGGGCACAAATACGGATCTCTTCCAATCAGTTGACCAGAGAATCGTCTTCCAAATTTCTTGGCAGAGATGAGTGAGTGCCCCCGTGCCACCTCACTTTCTGGAAAGATTTTCAATTTTTATTCCATCAATTCCTGGGGCCTTGTTCTTTGCCAATTCCTTCAATGAACCTTGGACTTCCTCCTTCAGTATCACTGGCTCTTGATCATATGCTACCTCTTGAAATGGTTGAACACTAATGATTTCCTTTTGGTACAGTGACTCTGTGTATTCCTTTCATCTTTGCTTGTGATGCTTTCTGCATCATTCAATAATTTCCCCAGAGAATTCTTCAATAACAAAAGTTGAAGTTTGAAATTTTTTTTCAGTTACCCCGTCTTGAGAAATGCTGAGCGTGTTATTCCTTTTTGGTTTTCTGATTCCAGATAAACAAAATGCACATTTTGTTGTAGTATTTGGCTTTATCTTCATGAGCTGATTTTTGAAATTTTCTGTTCAGCTCTTGGACCACCTCAGTTCTTGCATTTGCTTTAGTATTTCTACACTGGAGAGCAAATTTCAGTGTGTCTTCTGACATCCATTTTGACCTTTTCCTTCCTTCTTGTCTTCTCAGTGACTTTTTGCTTTCTTTCTGTATGATGTTCTTGATGTCATCCCACAACTCTTCTGGTCTTTGGTCTTTAGTGTTTAATGTATCAATCTATTTTTCAGATGATCTCTAAATTCAGGTGGGATATACTCAAGGTCATATTTTGGCTCTCGTGGACTTGTTTTCATTTTCTTCAGCTTCAGTTTGAATTTGCATATGAGTAATTGATGGTCTATTCCACAGTCTGCCCCTGGCCTTGTTTTCACTGATGATATGGAGGTTTTCCATCGTCTCTTTCCTCAGATGTAGTCAATTTGATTTCTATGTATTCCATCTGGTGAGGCCCAGGTGTATAGTCGTATGTTATGCTGTCTAAAGAAGGTATTCAAAATGAACAAATCATTGATTTTGCAGAATTCTATCATGCATTCCCCAGCATCATTTCTATCACCAAGGCCATATTTTCCAACTACTGATTCTTCCTCTTTGCTCCCAACCTTTGCATTCCAATCACCAGTAATTATCAGTACATCTTGATTGCATGCTTGATCAATTTCAGATTGAAGAAGTTTGTAGAATTCTTCTATTTCGTCCTCACTGGCTTTAGTGTTTGGTGCATAAATTTGAAAAATAGTGGTATTAACTGGGTTTTCCTGTAGGCGCATTGATATTATCCTATCACAGACAGAGTTGTACCTCATGACTGATCTGGATATGTTCTTTTTCACAATGAATGCAACACCATTCCTCTTCGTCATTCCCAGTATAGGTACCCATGTGGTTGTCAGATTCAAATGGCCAATACCAGTCCATTTCAGCTCACTAATGCCTAAGATATCGATGTTTATGCATTCCATTTCATTTTTGACAACTCCCAATGTTCCCAGATTCATACTTCGTATATTCCATGTTCCAATTTTCAATGGATGTTTACAGTGTTTTCTCTTCATTTTGAGTTGTGCCCCACCAGGAAATGAAGTTCCGACGGGCTTTTCTCCCACAGGCTTTGCTCCATTCACGTCATCATGGTCAACTCTACTTTGAGGAGGCAGCTCTTCCCTAGCTGCATTTTGAGTGCCTTCCAGTCTTTGGGGCTCATTTTCTGGCACTATGTCTGACAGTGTTTCTCTGCTATTCATAAGGTTTTCAATGAGTATATATTCGGACGTAGTTCATCACTCCTTCTTCCTAGTCTGTCTTCGTCTGGAAGCTCATCTGAAACCTGTCCACCATGGATGACCCTGCTGGTATTTAAAATACCGGTGACATAGCTTTCAGAATCACAGCAACTCATAAACCACCATAGAACGACAAACTGACAAGACAAGTTAGCGTTGAGGAAATAGCAAATTCTTTAAGAATGGAAAATTGTTGTTTGTTCTCAAGCGGATTCTGACTCATAGTGACTTCATGTGACTGAGGAAAACTGCTCCATAGCGGTTTCCTGGCTGTATCTTTAAAGAAGCAGATCACCAGGTCTTTTTCCCATGGAGCATCTGCGTGGGTTTAAACCACTAACCTTTTGGTTAGCAGTCACGCACTTAAACAATGTACCAACATGACTCCTAACAGTAATTTTTCAAGCTGACTTATTAGAGAACTCTCACCTTAGAGTGGAAAAGAAAACAGTAACAGGAAGGGAGCTTCAAGCTACCACAGTAGTATATTCAAAGAGAATGAAGCCTTGCACTCTTGTTAGGCAAGGAAGCACCATATTCAGGAGGTATTTTTGAAATACACTAAAATGTTAATGGATGACAAGATGTAGTGGAGGATGGCTTGGTGGTTTCGAGTCTGAAAGGCCAAGTGAATGGGTTCTATTAATGAAGCAAACGAACAGAGAAGATCCAGATTTGGAGTATGTGTGTGTGTTGGGGTGGGGGTAGGGGCTAGAGGGAATGAAAGAATGTTCATTATAAAATATAATAAACTTGGAAGGTTTCTGGGATTATATGTCTAAATGAGAAATTGAAAAGCTGGTCTTGAAGCCCAAAAGTTAGTATCATATAGGACACCATAGATTTCCAGGAGCTATTAACTCCCTGAAATCAAATGCGAAATTGTTTAGCTATATACCCAGATGTGTTTTCTCCTGGACCGAGGGGTCACTGCTTTCAATCTGATTCTAAAAATAGCCTGTGGTCCTTAATAGGTAAGGGGCCACTATAGCTATTGAACTGAATCTATATTTGGAAGCTACTTAGGCACCAGTGGGAATATAACATTTTTTTCCTTTACATGATCATGGAATATATTAGCTCTGTTCCTTCTTTTTCCTTTTTAAAGTATCTCAGGGATGATTTTTCTGATTAGAGAATTCTATGTATCCCACTGGTTACTCTGATGATCAGAGGTGATGTTTAGGAAGGGACAATAGAAAACAGGTTTCAGAGGAAAAAAGAATAAGATACACAAAATAATTCATATATTACATGACTGCATTCATTGTTGTTACATGCCATCAAGTCGGTTCCAACTTAAAATCATCCTGTATAGGATCTCCAAGGAGTGGCTAGTGGGTTTGAACCACTGACCTTATAGTTAGCAGTCCAGTGCTTATCCTTTTAGCACTACAACAGGATCCTCCTTGTTACTTTCTTTAATTTTTTTAAAAATGTGAACAGCTATCATAAAAATGAACAAAATAGTTTACTACTAAAAGCTACTTATAACAAGTTAACTGCACATGCATTTAATTATATGCTTTGAGCCACAGTAAATAGGCTTAAAAAAATCAAACAACTCACATGTAAATGGCTATCACTTTTATATAATGCTTTTACATATTCAATCCAAATGTATGAATTTTCTCATTAGCTCTACTCTCCAGATATGTGACAGTTTTCTCCATTACTGTACAGAGAGGAAGGTCCTATTTAAAATTTTCCGTCTAGGAATCTGGTGCTCTATCCTATCTGGGGACTGTGGCTTAGCTCACCTGCTACATGAGGGTGGGGATGAGGGAAACTTGGGCAGGGCAGGTTCTAGTCCCTATGAGTAGGACCAGGAATAACTAGTAAGCATACTGCTCCTGAGGAAGAAGCACCACTCGTATGTTGCGTGAGATAGTACAACAGTCTTAACTTTGAAAAGGAGGGAAATAAAAGAACATAAACTGTAAATGTACAGTGGGAGAGCAGGAAGAAAAGAGTAGGATTAATGGGAGCTTTCTGAATGGGAGGGAGAGTTAGAGAATTTGAGATGGACTTGGCCCACGGGAAGATTACGTTCGTCCTCTTGCTTGGGATGACAAGGTGATGGGGTGGGGATCTATTTTTCAGTCAGGTGCAATATGATCTGATCACAGTTTTTCAAGTGCTGCTTTTTACCAGGAAGAGGCAGACTTTTGTGAACTTAGGGTTCAACATGTTCAGAAAGCATATCAGATCTCAAACTCAGGCACATTTTAGACTCGCCAAAGAAACTCACCACCCCTCTGGCCTGTCTCCAGGCCTACCCACCAGAACATAAAACTGAGGAGAGGAAAGCACATTTCTTATTAAAAATATGGGACAATACACTCATAGATTCACCTCTCTCCTCTTTGTTTTCATTGAGAGGTGAGAAAAGGATAAGAAGGAAAACGGGAAAGCAGCAGCCAGCTTCATCATTTTGACAAGTGCTAACTTGGTTTAACTTCAGTTCTATAAACACAGAAATAACAGATAGGTAATGCTTACCACAAGGTTGGTGGTTCAAACCCACTAGCTGCTCCTCAGAAACCTTACAGAGTCACCTGAGTCAGAACCGATTTGACAGTACTTAACAACAATGTGTATATCTAAGGAACAGTGTAGCTATACAGATCTAGTGGATACTTTAATATTAAATTCAATGTCTACATTAAGTTTTCAGAGAATAACTTTATTTATTATTTTCTCTCAATGCAATATTAGTGAAATCAGTATGAAATTGATGAGAGACACTGGAGATCACAGAACCCTTTTAAAAAACAAGTGAGGCTAAACAAAACTTCTATTTCTTCTCTAAGTTAATAATATACTTATTTAGAAATACAAAGTAACCATGGCAAAAAAGTAAGATCTACATGAAAGGTAGTATGTAAAAAGCTGGCCTACTACTTACATTATTACAATAAAATGCATAAAATACTCCCGAGACATAACAGCCCAGTATTCCAATAGAAATTCCTGCATAATCTAATGCCATCCATCGTCGACAAGTTTTTTCGGATCGGTGGCAGGAAAAAAGATGATAGCCTACAGAGCAAAGCATACAGACCTATGGAAAATAAAACAAATCTTAGTGAAACACAATGAAGGGAAACACGAGCAACTCTTGCATAATGTTCAGTGAAGTGGTAAGAGCACAGGCTTTTTAGTCAATCCACCTGGGCTTGGATTGTAGCTCTGTCCCTTACTAGCTGGGCAAGCCATTCTGTTCTGCTAAACCTTCATTTCCTCCTGGGTAAAATGGGGTTAACAATTACAGAGAGATCTAAAAATGATAGGTAATTTAATATAGAAACATTTAAAATGAACAGCAAAGTCATGGGGAAATTACACATTACGAATGTTTTTATATATCAATTGAAGCTTATTTTGATCTTTGGATAAGGAATTTAGTTTTTAAGAAAGTATTTAATGTATAAGAAACACTTAAAAACAAACAAAAAACAGTTGTATGATATAAGAAATATAACCTCGTCCAACAAATCTAAGCCCCTAAAGACAGTTACTGATAATATTAGCTATGTGTCCTTCTAGATATAGTCCATGCATATGGGGGGGCGTGCTGTAGGGTAAGCATTGGACTGCTAACCGGGTCAGTGGTTCCTAGCCACCAGCTGCTCCTTGGAAACCCTATACAGGGATGCTATGTATAGAACCAACTCAAAGGCACTTAACAACAAGTTAAGTAAATTTATAGGCTCTGAGAAATAAAATGTCAAGTGATGCTTATACTTTTTTCTTTGATTGAATTTCTATATGAATAGTGAGCCGATTTGATAGCACTAAACAACAAAACATATTTTACAGTAATAATAAACAACAATAAACTAATTTAATCATGTATAAGAAAATAACAATGCAAATAAAAAACCATGCGGTTTTAAAAAGTTAACTTATACTCAATATGCGCTATTTAAAAGGGATATGCTATTTCTAGAGAGAGTTCCCTAATTTTTTTTTTTTTTTAAATCTGGTAAAAGGAGTATACTTCAGTTATCTGGGGAGGTTTACTTACATGGAATATCTTAAACAAGACAGACAGATAACTACAATATTATTCACATCTTACCACCAAGGTCCTTGGCATCACAACAAAGTAGTTTGTGATCTAGCCCCAGCTTATCTCCCCAGCCTCATCCTTTGCCACTCTCCTAGGATCTAAGTCTAGAAACCAAATCTGCAACTCCACAAAGTGCCAAGCTGTCTCTGACTTCTGAATCTTTATACAAACGGTTTCAGCTTACATGCCCTACCTCACTCCTTCCTACCTAGGTGACTCGTTCTTTGTGACACACTTTATCTTTGGTGCCTACCATACAGGATGAAATTTAAAAAACACCTGTTGAACTGAATGTAAATGATCTGAATCTAGGGAAAGTAGTCTCAGTCTACTCTCCCTCTCCCAGCCTCTTACCTCTTGCTCTTATTTCAGACAAGTACCTCTACCTCTAGAAAGGTTCCAAACTCCTTAAATTATATTCTACTATTAAAACTGTACTGTTAATCGTGTTATAAGAAAACCCCTGAGAACAGGTAGTACCCAATTAAAGATGCGGTTCCATTCCAACAACTCCATCTTAAGCCAGTTCTGATGAAGCTGAATACCTCAATTTTTTTTCTAGTTTTCATTTTTATTGCCTTTTATTAGTAGTATCTTTATAAATCTGGCTGTGTTGTTGTTGTTTTTCCTGGCTGTGTCTTGAAGAGTAAATTATAAAACTGAAGTCTCTAAGTGAACATATGAGAATGAAAGCATCAACAAATTACACGTTGCAACTTCATCACTTTATACATTTCACTACTTTACTCAGGTTTATTACTAATGATAAAATGTACCAAAAAATCCAAAAATGATGGTCATAACTGTGGTGTCTTAAGTAGAAAACATTGCAAGTTAGGGTCTACTTATATGTAAAGTAGGTAAGGATGTGGGGGGAAAAAAGTTTTTAAAGATTAGATGTAAATCAATATTAATTAAATAAATGTACTTAAGGTTTACCCTGCTGCCCACTGACCTTAAGAATTCAAAAAAGTCAATTAAACTTATCAGTATAATTTCATAAAAATAAAAGAAATGGTCTTTTCAAGTACGACGTGCTCATTTGTCTTTAGTGAGTTACGTAGCATGTAACAGGATGGACACTGCAGTTAGGAGTTCTCCTGCTGAATAATCCTGGGCAAGTCACCAACACTCTGGATTCATTTCTTCCCTCGAAGCTCTAATTATCTACTAATTTTAGTTTTTAATGCACTGTCTTCTTAGGCCGATATGGAGTGAAGATGTGGTCCCTAAACTAGTATCAGCTGTGGCTGTGTGGTGACGACAGAAGGCATAAAAAGAGAAGAAAACAGAAGCTTCCCAGAGTGAATTCTACCAACATAGTTAATGATAGAAATGAGTTTTTGTAGTTATTAATGATTATTATTATTAAGAGCAGAGTCCTGGTGTGGTGCTGTGGGTTAATGCGCCAGGCTGCAAAGCCATTTGAACTGCAAGGTCAGCAGTCCAAGCTCATCAGTTACTCCTTGGAAACCTTATACAGTGTCGCTATGGGTCAGAACCAACTTGACAGCGCTTCAGAACAGCAACATTATTAAGAGCATCTTAGGCTATGCTAGGATTTAAAACATTTAACTATAAAGAAATTGATTCATTTCCATTATAAAATGAGATGGACTCTAAGAAATTGCTTGGCTTTCATCAGAATGAAAATCAAACCTGAAAAAAACCACAGTCTTATTTCTCTTGAAGTAATTTAAAATATCATGCCCCAAACTGGAATTTAAAAAAAGGAGAAAGGGAATGTTTTTGCTGTGTTTCTTGGTCACTTATATCCAAAATTTTAACTTGAACAAAGTAATGAAATAAGTAAAGTGATGAAGAAAGCTATGAAAGAAGATTTGAAATAAAATGATACCTAAAGAAAACAACTTTTATGCAACTGACTTATTGGCTTACACTGCCCCAGAGTGAGCAGAAATGGTTAACTTACAAGGGATTGTTGGTCCGTGTTTGAAGGAAGCGGGAAGATAGCCTTTTCTTTTCATCTTTATGTTGATCTCTACTCTCTGCATTTTATAATTTTATTAAAGCATTTTAACTCCTTAAAGTGTCAGCAAGATCATGGTTCACATTTGCTTTCTTCTTTATAATCATTTATTTGAAAATCTATTTAATGTCATTTTTGAAGATACCTTTACAAATTACTTTTTTTTTTCTAACATTTTTATTATGAATTATATGATAGTTTACATGGGAGAACATTAGCTTTACATTTATCCTGTCGTATATTGTTTCATTGCCATGATTACAGTCCCCTCCATGCAAAATCAAACAGCCAAAGGGTATACCCTGCAAGTCTGCCCCTCAGTGGTCAGCACACAGCCCCTCTCCATCTCTGGGTCTAGAGTCCCCAGCCGCTCCATCTCTCCACGCCATCATCTCTGCCTCCATCTCTGGCATCACAGATTACATTGGGCTGCGAACCGCAAGGTCAGCAGTTCAAAACTACCAGCTGTTCTGCAGGAGAAAGATGAGGCTTTCTGCTCCCATAAAGATTTACAGCCTTGGAAACCCTGTACTGGGTCACTATGAGTCGGAACCGACTCCACGGCACATAACCACCACCACCACCACCATCACAATGAAAATACTAAGGAAGTAACAAAAAAAAAAGAGGTAGAGGAGAGAACACAGAAATGTTCTGAAAGCAGGAAAGGGTAAAAGATAACAGGGAAAGTGAAGTTAATGTGAAAGCACTAAAGCATAAGATCAATACTATTGAAACAAGACATTCAAAAACAGTTCTGAAACAACAGATGCAAAAATCAACAAATTATAAATAGGAAACAGAAGAGAAATCTTCCCAAATTTTAAATAGACACAAGTGCTGTACTTCAGTCAAAGAGTATAATCAGTGATTTATATTATTATTACTTTTAAAACAAAGATATCTATAAAGGTAAAGAGAAAAGAAAATATATTTTAAACTTACTGGATTTCAAATATATTCTCATACCAACCTACAAACATACTCTGATAATAATATGTTTCATGCTTATGATTATGAAAGGGACAGAGCTGACCTATATGCCACCTTGGAAGCTCTTTAAGGGTGGTTCTGAAGTAAGTAAGGTCACTTGCCCAAGTTTGCCTGACTAAAGTTCTCTTGACTAATAATAGTGTTTGTGAAATGACTTACCTGGAAGCAGAAAAGACAAATAGAACAAATTACAAAATCTTCTCTGGATGCACTTGCTGAAGGCAACACAGATGTCATGTCATATATTCCCAATGTGAAGAAGAGAAAGAATCCCAGCAAATGACTCCAGATGTTTACCGTCTCATTAGATAAAATAAACAAACTGGAAAATAAACAAACATGTAGTTCAGATTCATACTGGCCTTGCTTACTGTCAACATTCAAAGGTGTTGTTGTTGTTAAGTGTTGTTGAGTTGGTTCCAACTCATAGTGACACTGTACAGGGTTTCCCAGAAGCAGCTGGGGAATTCAAACCAACAACCTTGCTTATTCTACAGTGCCACACCAGGACTCCATTCAAAAATCTGTTGTTGTTGTTGTTAAGTACCATCAAGTTGGTTCTGAGCCATAGCGACCCTGTATAGGATTTCCAATGAGGGGCTGGTGAGCTTGAACCACCGATCTTTCGGCTCAAACCACTTTGTAGTCCAGCGCATTAACCCACAGTGCCACACCAGGACTCCATTCAAAGGTTAGGGACAATATATTTGGTTATCTAATACTTGATATTTTAAGTCCCTTAGCCCTGACTTTTCCTTTCTAAATTTGACACATCATTTAATTTAATGAATCTTAAATTTTCCCCAACTCTCCTGATCCTGGGATTTTAGAAGCTTTTGTGTGTGTGTTACCCTGTTCGATTACCATATGCTTCCTCACATTACAGCGACCCTGTACAGGGTTTTGAAGCAGCGGCTATTGAGTTTGAGCTGCCTACCTTTTGGTTCAAAGAGACTTTGCATTCCAGCACATTAACCCACAGCCCTGTAACAGGACACCCACATTAGAGTTGCTGTTATTGTTAAGTGCCATCCAGTCGATTCCAACCCACAGTGAACCTGTATAGGGTTTCCAAGGAACAGCTTGGTGAGCTTGAACCACCGACCTTTGCAGTTCAAACAACATTAGAGTTAGGTACATATAAACCCTATTTCATCCTCTAGCCTCTCAACTCCCTGACCATCTTTCTGATACCACTGTTTCAATACAGTGCCTTGCTCCAAGTAGATACTAAATGTCGACAGACCTGAATGTGTAGATTAAAACTAGATGCTAGCCAGCACACCTTCTATAATAGGTATCTGAAAACCTGCTCAGTACAAGGTTAGCCACAAACTTACAATACTTACTTTTGTTGTTGTTAGTTGCTGTCAAGTAACTCAGGGTAACCCAAGTGTTCTGAGTAGAACTGTTCTATAAAGTTTTCATGATTGTGACCTTTTAAAAGCAGATAGCCAGGCCTTTCTTGCAGGGCACCCCTTGGTGGATTTTAGCCACCAGCCTAGTACTTAATCCTTCTACCTATCCAAGGACCCCTAAAATAGCTATTTAAAAGTCTAACCAAGTCACTGCCATTGAGTCAATTTCAACTCACAGTAATCCTATAGGATAGAGTAGAACTGCTTCAGATGGTCTCACCTTTCTCCAGAGGAGGGCCTGGTGGGTTTGTACTGCCAATCTTATGGTTAGCAGACCAACCCTTAACTCATTAGTTGTTATGTACTTTCAAGTTGGTTCAGACTTATAGCAATCCTGTATAGGGTTTCTGAAGCTATAGATCTTTGTGGGAGCAGAAAGCCTCATTTTTCTCCCGCAGAGTGGCTGTTGGGCTCAAACTCCATTTGTTGTTCTTGTTAAGTACCATCAAGTTGGTTCCAACTCATAGAGACCCTGTATAGGGTTTCCCAGGATTGACTGGTGGGTTTGAATTGTCAACCTTGCAACTCAAACTGACGTTAAGGTCCAGCAAATTATCCTGCAGTGCCACACCCTGTTTGGTTGGTTGGTTGGTTATGTGCTGTGGAGTCGGTTCCAAATCACAGTGACCCTAGGTAGAGTTTCCAAGGCTGTAAATCTTTACAGGAGCAGAAAGTCTCATCTTTCTCCCGTGGAACAGCTGGTAGTTTCAAACTGCTGACCTTGCGGTTAGCAGCCCAACTCATAACCACTAGGCTACCAGAGCTCTTGACACCCCATTTGTTGTTGTTAAGAGCTGTGGATTCAGTTCTGACCCATAGTGACTCTGCGGAGGGTTTCCAAGGAGCTACTGGTGAGTTTGAACTGCTGACCTCAAAGTTCAAACCTGCTTTGCAGTCCAGCACATTAGCCCACAGCACCACACCAGGACTACACACCCCATTTAGTACTTATTAAATGCAAATGCAAAATTATATGGACTTGAAAGCAGAAGAAAAAAATATAAAATGATTATGTAGGCATGCTGGAACTACTTTGCTGTTATTGTTTTGAAATCAAACGTTACAGGACTTTATCCTTCCTAGGAACGCTCCTGGTGTGGTGCTGTGGGTTAATGTGCTAGACTGCAAAGTCAGTTTGAATCTCTAGGTCAGTGGTTCAAGCTCATCAGCCACTCCTCGGAAACCCCAGATAGGGTTGCTATGGGTCAGAACCGACTTGACAGCACTTAACAACAACAGGAACAGGAACAGGAAGTTACTTCCAACATCAGTACTATTTGGTCTCTTTCAAAATGTCCTAACTGATTTGAAATCTAAAGATCTTGGCAGCACAAGGTTGGTAGAATGAGTACCACCCAAGGGCAGATCAAAGGCTCACTGTCTCTCCACCCCAATTTAGCCATGAATTAGCTCTGTGATGTTGAGCAAGTCATTTAATATCTCCAGGCTTCAATTTCTTCATCTATATGATAAAGAACTGCATTAGATGCAGTTTTAAATCCCTTCCAACTCTAAAAATCCTTAATTTTGTGAAATGGTTTTCCAGCTGCAGATAGGAATCATCTGATTATCAGAAGGCAACATCATGATTAAAGATTAAGATTCTGTTACAATACCTGGTTGTTTAAATTAAGGTCTTTCAACCTGACTGATTCAGGAATCCTTACTAAGAAGCATTCATGTCTAAATTGACCAAGCACTAGGCTGCTAACAACAAGGTTGACAGTTCAAACCCACCAGCTGCTCCTTGGAAACTGTGGTCACTACAAATCAGTACTGACTTAATGGCACTTAACAAAAACAAGCCAACAGCAGTGTCCATGGGGTTCTCATGCTCTCATTTTCAGAAGTCATGCACGACAGGGTCTCAAGCTACCAAACGATCATTGAGAAGAATAAAGTGAATCTTATATGAGGAAAAGTTAGGCTTTATTTCAAGCATCATGTATATCAAGACTACTGATAAGGAAACAGAGGAAGACCGCAAGAACTGCTGCAAAACTGCAGAACTTTTTTTTTGACATTCAATACTATGCTGTGTCTATTGACTAGAACTTTTCATATTGTAAAACACCGATTAACTGAACTGAGAGACAAAACCTTTGCATATTCCTTCCAACTAACAAGAATACTAGCAGAATAGCTTGTGTATTTTTTTCTAAGAAGCTTCCCATTTATTACCAGAATCTGCCATGGTCACTCCTGATAGTAAAGGCAGAAAGAGCACAAGCTGGGCCTCAGTAAGTTCAAGTTGGTGGCAAGAGCACTTAGAAGAATACACTCCAGGAACCTGCTTGTTCTATGAGAAGTTAGGTCCCATATTCTGCTCAACTTCAAAATTACTACTTATCTTCTTTATTGTCATCTGTTTAGCTTTATAATTATGATGATACTGAAAGCTACCATGTAGCGTACTGGTTACGAGTTGGGCTGCTAACATTAAGGTCAGCAGTTCGAAATTACCAGCTGTTCCTCAGGAGAAAGATAAGGCTTTCTGCTCCCGTAAAGATTTACAGCCTCGGAAACCATATACAAGGGTCACTATGAGTCGGAACCAACTCCATGGCACATAACCAACCAACCAATGTATCACATGTTTAGTAGACACCAGTGTAGCATTTTGCAAATAAAATCTCTTATTAAACCCTGAAGCAAAGATGGTGAATGCCCTCATTTTACCAGCGAAGCAAGTAAGCTCAGAGATGTTAACTTTTCCTCTAGGTTTCACAGCCATTAAATGGCAGATCGGATACCCAAACTATAAACTCAAAAACTCTAAAGCATTATATTTATTGTCTACTCTGTGAGATCTGATTCCTAACATCAGAACACCAAGGACCACTGCTACAGGTACCTAAGCTATTTAAGGCAATGTGTTATTTACTGTGTCCTTGTGGATCTCCAGATCCAGGGCAGGATCCAGCACTGGTTCCCTGTATAATTATTGATACCCAGGTGTCCTGGTGTGCCACTGTGGGCTAAAGCACTAAACAGCAAGGTCAGCAGTTCACACTCACCAAGCCGCTCCTTGGAAACCCTATACAGGGTCGCTGTGAGACTCGATGGCACTTAACAAAAACAGGAGACATTTGGTGTAAAGCAGTAATTGGGGTTCAAACTGTGAAGTCTGGAAAGTCATTCACTCATGAAGGGATGGGCAGTGAGGTCACCTTGTGAACCTCAGTCACTAAAACACTTTCAAGGCAGAATGACAGGAACTGAAGAAAGGCCATGCTCCAATGGAGATCAAGAACCAGACACGTCTGCTGCTTGAGAGATTCAACAACCCACATTCCAGCACTGGTTTTTGTTTTTTTGCTGCAGTGACTTGAAACAAACAACATCTTAATTCTGAGATGCTGTATTAAAGTACACACCATTGAGTTTTCATAGAATTTGAAGGCTAATTTTTCAATTGTTTTTGACTGAAGGGATTGTTGGTTTTAAAGGTTTCAATGAAGATACAAAGCCCTTTCATAGAGATGCTCTGTGGTGCTAAAGACCAGAGTTGTTGTTGTTGTTGTTGTTGTTGGTAGGTGCCATCAAGTCAGTACTGACCCACAGCGACCTTATGCACAGCAGAATGAAATACTGCCCAATCCTGGGCCAACCTCACTATTGTTGCCACGCTTGAGTCCATCGATGCTGCCACTTGGCCAATCCATCTCATTGGGGGTCTTCCTCTTTTTCTCTGATCCTCCACCTTACCAAACATGATATCCTTCTCCAGCAACTGGTCCCTCCTGACAATATGTCCGAAGTATGAGAGATGAAGTTTGGCCATCCTGGCCTCCAAGGAGCACTCTGGCTGCAGTTCTTCCAAAACGGATCTATTGGTTCTTTTGGCAGCCCATGGCACTTTCAACACTGTAACTCAAATGCATCAATTCTTCTACGGTCTTCCTTATTCACTGTAGATGCCCAGATATGGGTTGGTACCACGTGGCTTTCCTACACAGAGTAGGAGTTAGGAGTAGGGCTGCTAACCTCAAAGTTAGCAGTTGGAAGCTACCAGAGGTTCCGATGGAGAACGATGAGGCTTTCTGCTCCCGTAAAGAGAAACTCTATGCAGTTACTATGAGTCAGAACTGACTCCATGGCACACCACCACCACCTATATATATAATTACCACAGTGGTAATTATATAATAATGTAATTATCTCTTTAATGTCTGTTACCCAGTCTAGACCGTAGTAGCTTCAAGAGAACAGGTGACACTGTTTTCTGCAGGACCTCAGGCAGTGCCTGGAAGCTAACAGGTACTCAAGCATTTGCTGAATGAATAAACCACAACAACATCTAAATATATATATAATTATATATATATATATAAAACATATCGATTTGTTTCCAATTATGTGGGCCTTCACCTGACCCCAAATCACTGAATTCTCACAGAGTTGCTCTAACAAAAACCAAGCTTAAGCCATTGTCATCGGGTTCATTCAAACATGCATCCCAATAAGCACCAAATGGGATAAAGAACGAAAAAGCGCTTTGTAAACAGCAAAGGCATCATCACTGTTACTCTCACTATTACTAACTACCTGGATCAAGCACCCGGTGTTGACAATGACAGGGGAGAGGATGGGCCAGCGAGGAAAGCAGTGGGGAGACCAGACAAAAAGGGTGTAGGTGAGAAGGAGGGGCCGCCGGCGCGCCCCGTGGAGGCCGCCAGACTGTACCTTTTGATACACAGCCTCGAGGGCAGGTAGGCCCGGTAGCCGTCGGTGATGTACGGATTGTCCTTGAGGGACACGGGGATCTGCTCGTAGGTGTAAAGGCGGATACCGCGGGGCACCAGCACCGGCCAGTACTGGTAGCTGCCCAGTTCGATGTAATGTGCGCTCTTCAGTAGCTTCTGATGCATCGTTCCGGCCGCCGCCGCTCCCTACAGGGAGCTCCCCCAGGTCCCGCCTCCCCGGGGAGGGGGCTTCGCCGCCGGAGCCCCCGCCCCGGAGCCCGCGGACTCTCCTAGACGTACTACCGCCGAGCAGCTGTCCAGGCCAGGCTCAACGCACCGAGCGGCCACCGCGTCAGCGCCGGGGCGGGCTGGCGGCGTCGCAGCCCTGTCTGACGTCAGCACGCCGCGGCGGGCCCCGCCCCTCGGCGCTGTCTGGGTCTGACCGCGCTAAGGCGACTTGCCGGCCCTTGTGTGTGCTAGTGCTTGCGAGTTGCTACAGGAAGGTTTGAGGGCACCAAGCGGCTCCTTGGCCACGGTGCGCCAGCGCCCGAGAGGAGCAGAAAGAACATCACTGGAAAAGTGTCCCCTCCATCTTTACTCAGAAGCAATTAGAAAGTTACATTTTGAGAAATCAAGGGTTAATGTTTAAACAGGAAGAATAATTATACAGCTAATTCTTCAACCTTGTTGTTATGTGCCATTGAGTCGGTTCCGACCCATAGCGACCCTGTATAGGGTTTCCGTGGGTGTAAGGAGCTCTGGTAGCGTAGTGGTTACGAATCGGGCTGCGAACCTTAAGGTCAGCGGTTCGAAACTACCAGCCGCTCCGTGGGAGAAAGATG